ATGTAGGTAGTGCAGGATCTGATGTAGTCCTTGACATAGGTACACATTCCAGGCCAGGTATATTCACATTAGATGAGTTCTAACATCTGATTCTAACCAAAATGTCTGGATAGGGGATAGTCATGAGTGTTCCATAGGATGTGAAGTTGGAGGTTATTAGATTCTAGGACATATATGTGATTGTTATAACAGAGGAAACCACTATCATCCACAGTCCATCTATGGTTTGGAGGACTGGACATATGTGTGGATGTGATAGGGTCACTAGGAAGAGCAGAGAGAATATCATTCCTAAGTTACTTGACATCCATAAGTATAGCTGTGCAAAGCATTGGAAATGCTACAGTGAATGCTCATAGGGATGAAGCTAACTGTTCAGATATGAATACCAGATGGAGGTTTTGAGGATTGACTTGAGCATAGTCCTTACCTCCCTTTTTGGGATAGACATCCCAGCATCTAGTGAGGGAATCAGTGTCTTCTTACTTGAGGTGTCTTATATAAAAGTGATCAAAAGGCAATGACACCACAATTACACTTTTGATAAGACTAAATGCTGCCAACAACCTTAAGTTCACAGTCTACAACTTTTCTTCTTTCGTGATAGGTAATGTGGTATTCATGGGAGGTTACCTGCTATACAGCCTAGTGGTTTTATTCTACCTGGTTGTAAATAGGGGTTCTACAATACAAATCTAGCTTTATCTGGCAAGATAGATAATGTAGAGTATGTAGGTGAGTTTTATCTCATCTCATATTTGACTAGACAAAAAGAATAGATTTTTGTGAATGTCTCTCTAGTCCTAGGATTGACCAGACAGAAAATAATAAACTGGTGTGTACTATGCACAAAACTATGTAGCAAATACTGCTGGGAGCTTCCCCTGTCTTGATATACTAAAGGACTTATAGAAAGGAAGGTGAAAAGACTAGTTGGATTGTCCTTGCCTAGATTGCAAAGGAGTTAATCCAAGAAAAATAAATGTGCAGATAGTCCAACAAAGGAATCTGCAAATAGAAGAAATAAGCTTGACTTGATATTTCTAGTCTCCTGAAACTATATGTCAGATGTACACTAGGCAATACAGGTACAGTCAAGAAAAGAGTGGATGATCTCAGAGCAAGTACAGTGGCTCAAAAAACTGTCCACATGTTTTTGCATTTTTTACTATTTACAATATTGTGTGAGAATACATAAAGACTTCAGTGACATGCTAATACCATATTGTAGTGCTGCTTCAGGGCTTTGGATTGAGAACCACATCATGAGAATCAGAGGAGATATGGTGGAGATACAAGGCTTACAAAATCATGACTCATGCGGACAGTTTTTTGAGCACATATTAAAACTATATAAATCATCATTTATGACACAATAACAATCATGCCACCATTAAATAAATTATAAAGTGGTGTCATTATGTCATTTTAAAACCATATCTAACTATACAAACCAAAAATTTCCATATGTCATGGTTATATTCACCATGAAAGCCGCCCCCCCTGCTCAAAGGGATAATATCCTCTCTCTTTCCTATTCTGGCCTCTCTGCTTGTCAAATTTCCTCTAGAACTGGAGTATCCAAGTCCACTGTGGCCAAGTTCATCAAAGAAAGTCACACAGACAAGGAAAACTTCTGTGAAGGGCATCCATCCAAGCTCACCTCTACTGATAGGAGGGCTATTATTCAACATATCACTACAGGAAAGGCTGATAATGCTGTCCAGGTCACCTATTACATCAATTCCACCATCACATTCCCTGTCTCTTCACACACTGTGAGAAACATTCTTAAGACAGCTCATCTCAGGTCAGTAACAAGGAAGAAAAGGCTCTCCTCGCTATCACACATATGCAGAGATGACTAGCACCCTTCTTGTTTCACATATATACCTTGCCATCTGACCCAATCCTATTTATTGTGGTCTTATATGATCATATAACATGCTTCCAGTCTGTGTAATCCAATTCTGATGGGCTAAGGCAAAGGTTAGTCATCTCTGCATATGTGTGATAGAGAGGAGAGCCTTTTCTTCCTTGTTACTGACCTGAGATGAGCTGTCTTAAGAATGTTTCTCACAGTGTGTGAAGAGACAGGGAATGTGATGGTGGAATTGATGTAATAGGTGACCTGGACAGCATTATCAGCCTTTCCTGTAGTGATATGTTGAATAATAGCCCTCCTATCAGTAGAGGTGAGCTTGGATGGATGCCCTTCACAGAAGTTTTCCTTGTCTGTGTGACTTTCTTTGATGAACTTGGCCACAGTGGACTTGGATACTCCAGTTCTAGAGGAAATTTGACAAGCAGAGAGGCCAGAATAGGAAAGAGAGAGGATATTATCCCTTTGAGCAGGGGGGGCGGCTTTCATGGTGAATATAACCATGACATATGGAAATTTTTGGTTTGTATAGTTAGATATGGTTTTAAAATGACATAATGACACCACTTTATAATTTATTTAATGGTGGCATGATTGTTATTGTGTCATAAATGATGATTTATATAGTTTTAATATGTGCTCAAAAAACTGTCCGCATGAGTCATGATTTTGTAAGCCTTGTATCTCCACCATATCTCCTCTGATTCTCATGATGTGGTTCTCAATCCAAAGCCCTGAAGCAGCACTACAATATGGTATTAGCATGTCACTGAAGTCTTTATGTATTCTCACACAATATTGTAAATAGTAAAAAATGCAAAAACATGTGGACAGTTTTTTGAGCCACTGTAAATCAGATATACTTGGTCCACACTCCCCAGCTAACACAAAGAGTGTCAATGTTAGAGAAAGTGAAAGAAGTGGAGGGTTCTTTTAAATGATAAAAGAGATTCTTGTTTTGTAGGTGGAGATGAGCTCTCCTTAAATATGTGAGATGGAAGAAACTGTATAGTACCAAGAAATAAGGTTGGAAAGAGAAATGACATCAGAGTTGCATCATAAACAACCTCATTATGAAGCAAAGTGAAGAAAAAGTGGAGCTGAGTGGAGCAGAACATTCTAGCATCTGATGACATTGCTATGACATCATCATGACATCATAACCTGCAGGTACATTTTGTGATGTCTCTGGGAGCTCAAAGAATCAAGTAGGTAAATAAATGAAAGAAGAACATGAAGAAAATAAGGTAGGATAAATCATAAGACAGAACAAAGCAAAACACAGGCTTTTTAGATAGGGTTTTGGTAGGCTTATATCTTTTCTCCTTGGTTATTTCTAGTCAAAGTAAATGAGCCAAAAGATAGGCAAAAACCTAAGCTTTTATATGACTATCAACTTGGACTAGGTCAATATATGATTTCTTCATCATATATGACTTTTCTTCAAAACATCATATTTTTGCATGATTGGAGCATGTAAAGTGAAATATTGCACTTGAGTCTATACTCAAAGTACATTTTGTGTAGTCTGAGGACTAAGCTAACAGATTATGGAAACATGGGATAATATGTCATATACATGTCTCACATGATTCCCAAATCATGCAGGACATTGGGTTAGCTCTGAGTTTTCTGGCACAGAAATGGATGATGAGATTAAACTGGTGGAGGAATTCCAACCAGCATGCCTGTTGGTGAGAGAGGAGTTTGGTGGTTGCAAAGTACTCAAGGTTCTTGTGGTCCATAATAATATCAATAGGCTTAGACAAGCCTTCTAGGTAGTGTCACCAGGTCTAAAGAGCTTCATGTATGACTAGGAGTTCCTTGTCATGAGTATTGTTCAGAACCATGCTCAAAGGAGAGAGAGACTGACTCAGAGGGGCTTGGCCTCAGCTCATACACTGTGCCCCTTACCCAAGTATGTGCCCTTCATTTCAGAGGAAGTCTGATGATGGTCTGACGAAGTCCGGAGGACTTCTGGAGGCTGGCTACTCTGGTGGAGAGTGTGGGAGGACTTCCGGAGGAGTGCGGGAAACGTCCAGAAGAGTGTGGGAGAGTTCCGGAGGAATGCAGGAAGTGCTCAGGAGAGTTCCCACTGCAAGGTAATACTTCTACAGGAAAACAGGATGGAAGGATAGGAGGTCCAGAGGACAGGAGGACAGGATGTCCAGAGGTCTGGAGTATGGAGGACAGGAGGTCTGGAGGTATGGAGGGTGGAATGTCTGAAGGACAGGATACCCGGAGGTATGAGGGACAGGACATCCAGAGGTCTGGAAGAATAGGGGCTACATCAGACTTCATCCGATGTAGAAGCAAACAGAGGTAGACTACCCTAAGGTAGAGTCGGAGGGACAGGAAGTGGACCTAAGTCCGGAAAGAGGGTAAGTGCCAGAAAGGCAAGACTCCAGCCTAGGGAAGCAATCCCTAGACTTGGGACAGAGACATAGGGGACAAATCCAAAGGTCCGGAATTCCGGCCTAGGGAATCCTTCCCTAGGCCTTATGGAAAAGGATGAGACTCAGACAGACTGAAGTCCGGAAGATGATTGGCAAGTAGAACAGGATCTAAGATGATATTCGGACTGAGGACTCTACTGTAGTTGTACAGGGGTTATATGCTAGAGGATATCCAAGAGGATCAGTAAGCAACGGAGTAAGGCTATGTACAAGCATGCGGAAACACATTGGTAAGTAAGATGGAACATAACTAAATGAACTCAGAGATGAAACTAGTACAAGGATCAATCAGCAAGACAGAAACAGAGATAACTGAGAACCGGAAAGGCGGAGATGCCTAAATGGGGATAGGCACAGGATCTTGGACAGAAGGTGGGAATAGGTCCGGAGATCTGGGGATCCGGAAGGCAGGATGGAAACAGGACTGAGATATGTGAGGTGGTGGATGTAGTCCAGAATCCGAGAGGAGGTAAAGTCCGGATGTCTTGCTGGATGGAATGTGCATAGGGTGGACAGGATAGGGGATCCAGGAATGAGTTGGATATGGGGTCCGGAAACAGGTCCGGAAAGCGTGGGAATATGATTGGATCTATGTCTGGTATACAGGATATGACAAGTATCATAGTTGAGTTCCAGAATGGACAGTGTTCTGGAATAGAACATTACCAGGTGAAGCTCTGAGTCTGGACATGCAATAGACAGTATTCTGGAATAGCATAGTCAGAGGCATCAGTTTTAATGACAATAGGAACATCCAGCAGCTAGTGTGTCAGCACCAGAGCAGAAGTGAAAGCTTTCTTGAGTCCTTCAAATGATTTCTGACATCATCCAGATACACAACAATGTATATATCAAGCATATCTGTTAAGGTAGGAACCTTGATAGTGTGATGTGCGGCCTCACTGGAGAAAGGAACTGGTTGTGGTGAAGGGTCCACTTGAGATGTTGTATCTGGTAATGGTACTGCTGCATGGACCCACAACAACCTAGAGTTTGAGGTGAACCTGCTTTTGAGTTCTGCCACCTTCTCAAACCAAGCACATGCAGAGTGGTGGTATGATCCCCCAGAGGGCTCTGCCGCTGTTGCTGTTGACAGAATGTGCTGAGCCTTGACAGTGTGAAGATTTTTCAAAGCCTGAATACTGTCTTCATTGGCTGAGAAGAGTGTGCGTATTGCCTCTGTCCAGTCCTCTTTGCAATATTGAGAGCCCAGGTGTGAGACAAATTTTGCTTCTGTTTGAGGGAAGTTCATGTCCAAGGTAAGGTACTCCTCCAGGATGTTCTATGCTGCTTCATCTTGCTGAGGGTCTGACAGTGATGATGCCTGATCATCCTCAGAAGCCCAGTCATTTATGAAGGATCCATCCTCTACAAGCAGGGGAAATAGGTAGAGATATAGATCAGATCTAGCAACTTACCTTCTTCCTCTGTACCCTCATTGTCTGCCTCAGAGTTGACAACCACCTCCATATCAAGGTAGCACCTTGCCAAATCAGTGTATTTGGTGTGCTTGATGTGCATGTCTTCAGTGATTTCAGAAGTTGCTGGTCATTTCAACATTGAGCTGTGAGTAGGTTGCCAACAGTAATGTAGTAGCATTAAATGTCTGCTTATGTATACAATACACACTATCTATCCTATAGTTGAGTTGAGAGATAGAAATCAGAAAGAAGAATTCTAGTATGTGACCAAGCCTATTTGTAGTGAATCCCATCTTAATTCGCAGTCTTGGCCTCCAAGTATTTTGCAAGTGCCTCGGGCATCACATACCCCCCTCCATCGCTCTCAAGGTTCAAGGTTCATTCAGCCAGCATTTATTAATGAATGTGACACTCCCCATGCATTTTTCTCAGGTCTCCAGACTCCTGTTTGTTCTACCTGTCTTATTGTGTTCTTGTTCTCATGCCTGATTCATATCTATTGTGGCTGCCCTACTCTATGAAATTAATGAATTAAACTCCCAGTGCATTTTTCAGTCACAGGTCTCCTGTTTGCCATGTCTTATTGTGATCTTGATGATTCAGAGATAAATCCCAATCCCCAAATGCATGCTAGGATGACACACTTCAAATGAATTAGACTCCTGGTGCATTTTTGACCTACTATTTGACTTGATCTCATTCCTCTGTGCAGGTTTTCATTAAGGTTATAGATAGAGACAAGAGTATGTCAATGACCCATTGGTTCCAATCCAATTTGTGTGTGGCCATTATATCTGACTGCAGTGTAAGTGGATCTGGACCAGGGCCCATACTCTCTATGAAAGACGTGACAGCTTCCTGCATTGCTCCACTATAAAGCATATAGTCCTCATCTTTTGTGAGATCAATGATGGCCTCAACTTTCTCGAGTTCAATTGATTCAAGTTTCTGACAATACTGATCAATGACTGATTGCATCCCCAACTCACATGAATTTGCATTTATCTGGAGGCAAGTAAGACAGGAGCATAAGTGACTTGAAACAATGCCTTCCCCGAACATAATGCTTTCAGAGCAACAGTTCATGGTTGCTGTACTGTAGTTCATGAACATCATCATGCAGCCTAGCTGGCTGATCAGCTTCTTTAAGGACGATCTTGGTTGGTCAAATATTCATTAGCTGGGATACAAATCCATAGATATCGCAATGCTGACACAATCAGTATCATTAATACCACTCATGATCAAACTATTTCCTAATTCCATTTCCATCTATGTTTTCTTAGTTTCCATTTGTCATTCTTTGGCAGAGAGATTTTTAAGTTGCATCTGAATTACATCTCCCACTGGCCAAAAGTCTTGATAGTCATGTAATTCAAGAAAGTGTGCAATGACCTCAAATGGAAGGTAGTTAGAAAGAAGTGTAGATTTCGTAGATGCACATCATTCTGAACAGAAATCAATGCAGTAGGCAATTGGTATATTTTACTCTTGCAAGTATCACACTGCTTGTCAATAGATTGGTGAACAGAGTCCTAAACATCATGAATATACATAGGAACACATCAATAATTTACTGTATCTTACCTTGAACTGTTTGAAGCAAAGAGCATCCCAATGGAGTGCATCTGCCAAGTTATATCTGCCTCAACTCAGATGCCCTGCCTCACCCTTTGGTTTGATGATTTTTGATGTATTGGAATTCATGGATGTGATGGAAGAGCACATGGGCAACTGGTCTAGCTCACCAAGCTGCAACACATGCTTGGCTGAGAAGGAAACTGCCTTGGTGACTTTGGGAGTGGAAGGGTGAGAAGAGATAGGTGTAGTTGCACAGAATGATGTGCTGGTGAAGATACGTGAAGGAGGAAGAATGCTTCCCCTAAGTGTGGAGAATGCTATCTCTTCTTGCAAGGAGATCAAGACAAATGAAGTAGTTGGATAGAGTAATTCTGTGTGATATGTCAACAATGGAAATGACTGTGGAGGATCAGTTGCCTGATGGAAAGCAGGGCCAGGCACAGATGTATGAGGCATGACTGACGGACTGATTGAACACTTGGGTGATGAGGAATTGACTTACATCACGAACCATTGATGTTTTTGCCGCACATGGATGATCACAAGGAATATTGCCTTGAAGGGCATCTCATTGGACATAAAAATGCGATTAATTGCCTGTCCTTCTCTTCAAGTAATGGCACTCTATTGGCAAGCGGGGATGAGTTTGATATGCATCAGCCTACAACAAACTCACTTGAGAGTAGTGTCACATCATAGGCATTCAAAATCCAGCAGATCCCATAACATGCGCATGATCACCCACCAAGAGGTGATGCACAAGACATTGTGCTATGGTACAGACTGAGCTTCATTGGCATTTGGCAACAGCATGGCGAAGGTTTGCAAGATGTTGACGCCAAAATCTCAAGGAGAATTGGTACAGGCAAAGAGATTATGTTGTCTTGCCCATGATCATTATGGGAATGACACCCATATTGCTACTGGGACATGCGAAAAATGCATTCAAGTCTGGTCATTTAACTTACAAGGGTCCATTAATTCCTATCTTCAGCATTGAGCTCTCTACAACGATCCCATGCATGATTAACTTCAATTACACCAATGGTTGACACATATTAGTCTTTGGCCTCTATCTTGACAGGCCATGCATGGGTTTGGGAACTCCTATCAGGACATCCCCATTGCTTCCATAATATGATGGGCCTGTCCAAGCCAGTATTTCACCAATTGCTCCATGAACTCAGTGAATATGCAGGCCTTGCACATTCAAGATATATCTCTTCTGAAGAGCAGCTGGCAATTTTTCTTCGAATCTGCCATGCTGGGGGTACAAATTGGGATATGCAAGAATGATTCCAGCACAGTGCAGATACTATTTCGAAGTGAGTGCTTACATTACTATTTACAGCTGTTTGCAAAAAGGTTGACAGTAGTGACATGTTGAGAAAAGAACAAAACAAATAAATAATAGATTAATAGCCACATACATACATCACAAATTGACCATCATGTATTGGAAAATCAGTCATGACTAGCCACAATTAATCTTCACAAGCATCAACACCTTGCATTCAAAGACATTCTTGCTTGCATCGGAGATTCGGAATGCACATTCTGGCGCGAAACGGGAGGCATACATTGCATCAAGCATTTGCAAGTATATGTGCGTGTTATTTGACCCTATGTATGTGGCTATTATTTATTTGTTTTGTTCTTTCTCAAAATGTTGCTACTGTCAACCTTTCTGCAAACAGCTGTAAGATGCAGCAGAATTAATTTATCACTGACTGTACTATTAGGATTTTTCTTCGTCTTCTAGACATGGTTGTATCACCACACTTTTATCAGTGCTACATCAGCCTGCTACCCAATGATGTAGTCCCCCCTGAGATTCACAGTAATCCCAAGTTCTACCCATTTGTTCAACACTGTTGGGGTGCAATTGATGGGACACACATTGATACTTTTGTTCCCAATGATGCCCTGACTGCTTGCTACCACAATCGGAAGGGCTGCCTCTCACAGAATGTCCTTGCTGCATGCACATTTGACATGCACTTTTCATATGTTCTTGCAGGATGGGAGGGAAGTGCAGCTGACAGCCGCATATACAATAATGCTCGCCAAACTGACTTTCCCATCCCCCCAAATCTCTGCTACCTTGCTGATGCAGGGTTTCCATTATGTGACTCACTCCTGGTTCCATATTGTGGTGTCTGCTATCACCTCAAGGAATGGGGCTGTTCAAGTCAAAGGTATGTTTTTTTTCTACTGATTAACCATACAAAAAAATGCTGAAAATATCTAGACCAAAAAATCCCCAAGAACTGTTCAACTTACGACATGCCCAAGCCTGAAATGTTGTTGAGCGCATTTTTGGTGTGGTGAAGCGCCGATTCCAGTTAATGGTGCTGCCCCAGAATACAGTCTTATTGTGCAGACAAAGCTGGTTCCTGCCCTGTGTCTTGCACAATTTTATCCAAGTTCATGATCCAGATGATGATGAGGAAGGAGATGAAGAGGCAGAGGTGGACACTAGTATATTGAGTATACTATGAATGAGAACTAGGAAGATCTACTATCTATTTTTCGAGTTCTAGATGAATGTACATAGAACAGAGAGAGACATCTGAAATGGCAGTATAGGCATCTGCAATAGCTACATCCTTGGTAAAAAGCGCAACAACCTTGGCACATTCATCAGAAGATAGGGTAGCATCAGTACAAACAGCCTGGATGGCATTAATGCGACATTTTGGAGTACTAGGAACATCATCAAGAAAACTAGTAGGAGTAGTGAATGACATAGCAACAGATTCAAGAGCATCAGCTACTCCAAGAATTGCTGCTGGTCCAGTCAGCTTCACATTAGAACATTTTTTATGGACTCCAGTCGAAGTTGGTGATACTGAAGGAGCATGTCCATGTTTCGGAACACGCGGAGTGTGAGAAACAGGTATAGACTAGTATGAATACAAGTCAGACAACGAAGCAAGCAAGTTGATGTACATACCACTTTCTCATCAGCTGATTCAGACTCAGGATTCCCTCTGAGTACATCCTCACCTACAAAGACATCATCCTCATTGTCGAGAAGTGTGCTTGGCCAGGGAGGGCTCGTCTTGTACCCAATATGCAGGGCCCCTTCATCAGTTACATGACACCCATCCATGAGCACAATGATGTCATCATAGAGGGGGAATGGTGTCGAATGCCAAACCTTGGCTTCAGGATGTGCCTAAACAGTAATTTAGTCAAGAAATGAATAACAAATGAAAGCTTACCTCAAGGTAATCATCCCACACTTTGTTACTGGCAATGACAATCTTCCTCGTCTCATCCCATCCAAATCCAGACAACTCTCGCAGTTTTTGGACAATGAGACATTCTCCTTGGTATCAGATGAGAGTCCGTGTTCTTTCTTAGGTGGCATGGTGGGTAGCAGTTAACATTATTCATACTCTTTTCTCTTTCTCTCGATGTTTGTGACTTTTCATGTAATTGCTTCATTATGAGCCAGGGTGTGAGAATATGACTAAGCCATAGGGAGGTGTGGGAAAGCTCTGCTTCTAAGCATTATGTTTGATTCCTATAGTGTGGGAAGATCATGTCATCAAGTGAAGATATGGTTAATTTAATTTGGTGACTCATTGAGGCACTTTTTTGACTTTCAGTTTGGCTAACACAATCTCTATAATTCTAGTACTTGGTGTTTCCTCCTGTTGCTCTAATTAGTTCTACCACTCTTTTATGCATACTATCTATCAATTTGAGGTATTCCTTATCAACAATCTTGCCCCACTCTGCTGCAACTCTCTCCCACAGCTGAAGTAGCCCCTATTATTATCCTCAGCTCTTCTAATCTGTACACCAGGCAGATTGCTACTCAAACTGGTCTGAGCTATAATTAGGATCACAAAAAGTCATTCCAGATAAGAAAATATCAAACTAAATTGTCCTTTCAAGCTTATATACCATATAACAAAAAATCTCTTGTTCATAATATTCCAACTAGGAGGGCTGCCAATGCTACTCAAGCCACCAAATTCATTAATTACATCATCTGCATCACTCTCTCCACTCAAATAGTCAGTAATACTCATAAGGCAGCTAACCTTAAAGCTGTAAACAGGCAGAACAAGCCTTTCCAATAGGATGGGGTCAGATAGCTAGGAATATATGTGATGAAAGGCAGAAGAACTACTAGAAGAAAGAAAAAACTAAAGTACATAAAGTAGGAAACTTGATGGTATGGTGTTGTGTGAGGTGGAATGGAGTAGGAATTCTCTGTGAGGTGGGGGGAGGATGAATACAGAGCAGCATATTTCAATTTTGGAAAAGTAGCTGCTCAGAAGCATGCAAGAATCAAGAATTAATGAAGAAGACATTACCTTCTAATAAGACAATGACCCTAAGCATACTTCAAGTTGAGCATAAAATGGTTTGAAAACTATGGTATCAGTGTTCAATAGGGGTTATTTCAGCTGTGGGAGAGAGTTGCAGCAGAGTGGGGCAAGATTGTTGATAAGGAATACCTCAAATTGATAGATAGTATGCATAAAAGAGTGGTAGAACTAATTAGAGCAACAGGAGGAAACACCAAGTACTAGAATTATAGAGATTGTGTTAGCCAAACTGAAAGTCAAAAAAGTGCCTCAATGAGTCACCAAATTAAATTAACCATATCTTCACTTGATGACATGATCTTCCCACACTATAGGAATCAAACATAATGCTTAGAAGCAGAGCTTTCCCACACCTCCCTATGGCTTAGTCATATTCTCACACCCTGGCTCATAATGAAGCAATTACATGAAAAGTCACAAACATTGAGACACTTTTTTGAGCCACTGTATATCTAGTAGCTTGCTTGTAAGCATGTCCAGTGTTAGATACCCATACCCATACACAAGTACATACATACATATATATTTGTATCAATATTGTGTATATCATGACTGGCCCTACTACTAGTACTACAGCTGATAGGACTGATACCTCCATTGGAGATGCTGTAATACCAGTACAGGTTGACTCACAACCAGCTCCCACTACCCCCAAACAGGATAGTCATGTGGATGACTCAATCATTGACACTTCCATCACATGGGCTAGTTCCACTATACTACCTTTTACAACTCTTTTGTGATGCCAAATTGACACTCTTAATACCATGGGCAACATTCATGAGTGATCCTGCCCCTATGATATTGAGTTTGTTGACAGTTGAACTCCAGATTAACGTTATATGACCATTCACTCCCCAATTATCATTCATGAATACATGCAGACACAAAGAACTGCTTATCATTCACATTTAAAGTTAAGCTGGATTTATGTGTATATGCAGATACTGAGACTGACAATGCTTTTGACACATTGGGTCAAATCACAAGCTATGCTGCCACTCAATATCATACCCACACATTATCCATCCTTATAATCTGTAATTGTGCTCATTTCATCAGATGGGATAGGAAGGGAGCTATTGTCACAGACACCTTCAATTACCACCATGAGCCACACTTGGCCAATGTCTTCTGTCATTTTGCATGGGCATCATGTGCACTGCATGGTGTTGATACTTCCATAACCCCCACTTGCATGCACATGTTCAAAGTTGCAGTCCCCCAGGATCCCAATGCTGAGAACCCTGACTGGTTGTCATTGATTATTCCCCAACTAGTTGCTAAAGGTTTTCTGCTTGTTGGCTGCTGGACTCATACATGCCATTTGACAAACTCAATAACAAGGTCATAATGTTCAAGGACTCTTGGCACATGACGATGAAGGATGTCCTACTGGAAGGTCAGACTTACAAATTACTGAAGTCCTACAATGTTCACAATGTTGCAACATGCATCACATGTGATTCATCCTATTCATCAGCAAGACACCAAGACTGTCAAGTTTGGGAATGCTGATTGGGCTTGTCCTAACAATGCTGTCACTCCTCACACTCTTCACTGCCTGGTTCTTGATCTTGTGGGTGAGAAGTTGACTGATTTTGAGAACTCTCCTGTTCATGACGCATTGCTTGGTATGTGTCTTCAAATTTCCCATATTGCCTAATGTCCATACTCATGGTCCATGCAGCCCATCAGGATGCATATCAAACCACACAAATATTACATCAAGACCTCAGTGTTGGGAATATTGTCATCTACTGAGGGAAGGGTTTCCTCATTGATTGGGACCCAGCGAAGCTAGTCATCATTGAGGGTCCTCAACAAATGACCCACACAGTAAGTTTGTTTCATGCCCAAACTCATTGTATTAATTTTTTTATTATCAAGGGAACCTGGCAGTTCATATCTGCTTACCTTGTCAAAAATACCTGCACCATCCACAGTATCAAGGATGACCTGGAATCCAGTCTGTACATTGTTCTGTGGACAGCATTGATATACAGGGAGAGCCACATGACTGTTGTCAACTGGATGCAATTCATTGTGCAGATCTTCAATGCTGATCCATTGGTGGGATCTGGAGGATGTGCGAAATTGAATTGGCTTGTTGCAAGAACAGATTTTCCACAGGATATTTTTGTTGACTATAAACTGCTTGACAACTTTGTCCTTGAACTGGTCCAGTTTTTTTTACATTGGGCTTCTGTCATCACCCCTAAGGCACAGGAGAAACTTGTGCAATTGCAGCTCTCATTGCAGGAACTTTTGGATGAAGTTGGGCCTGTATGCATGGCTGTACAGCAGAAGATGATAGATGTTGCAGAAAGCTGCCTGTTGGAGTCTGCTATGTACCAGAAGGAGATGGGTATGGAGATCCTGCACTCACATGAGGCTGTCATCAATATTTACAACAAGCCATCTGGCAAGAAATGTAGGCTAGATCCTGTGGATGACAATGAAACCCTCAGCTCAGTAGCTGGCCTAGATAACCTTGTGTCCTTTGGTCATCAATGGTATTTGTCTAAGACTTTGCATGTCATGTATTTATCTTACACTTATGATATGTGACAGTTTTCCATCTGGTACCCAGTAAAATGAAAATTGTGTTTAGCATGCCTCTTAAAAGTAATTTTTTATTTGTCTGATGTTCGATGGAGAGGGCTGGACTCAGGGTTTGAATGGTTCTCATTCCACAGTAAGTTCAGTATTTCTGTGGTGATGTATATTGATACTGATATAACATCAGGTTCAAGGAGTGCCCCTCTATTCTGAAGGAGAATGGTGTGCTAGACCTCCATGCATATTTTGCCCCGACATTCCCAGCTTGTTCTTTCACCTTCCCATGAAGAAACTAGTATTGTAGAATTAGTGTACTCACTTAGGTGTCTCACTCAGACGCTAGACTTACATTAAACTTAATTGCCTACAGATAATGCATTAGCTCTGCATGTGATCAGGGCTACCAACTTACATTTGTGTGCACTTCAGCTATTTTTGATCAAAGCAGCAGCAAGATTAAGGTGGGATTTAAAGATGAACACTTTTGATGATTAATGGATTCAATCTTGCTTCTGCCACAAGGTCACACATCACAGTATGGCTGAACTTCTCCACCACCCCACCTCTGACTCATTCCCAGATCCCCTTCCACTGTGTGCTCCATATCTAAGCAGGACTAGCTCTGCTGAATTACCCCTGAGCTCTGGACCTCTGGATCTTCACTACTAGCCTGATCCATACACCCCTATCCTGTCCACCCCATGCACATTTCATCCAGCAAGACATCCGGACTTTACCTCCTCTTGGATTCCAGACTATGTCCACTGTCTCACATATCTCAGTCCTGTTTCTTCCATCCTGTTTCCTCTAGAGGTATTACCTCAGGGTCTCTCCACTTCCTATGCAGTGAGAACTCTGAGTATTCCCTGTACTCCTCTGGAACTCTCTTGCACTCCTCTGGAAGTCTTCCTGCACTCCACCAGCCAGCCTCCAGAAGTTCTTTGGACTTCATCAAACCATCATTGGACTTTATCTGAAATAAAGGGCACATACTCAGGTAAGGGGCATAGTGTACAAGCTGAGGCCAAGCTCCTCTGAGTCAGTCTCTCTCTCCCTTGAGCATGGTTCTTAACAGCATCACAAGTCTGTGGGTGGGGTGACAGCCGTATGCCAACAATTCTATAATGGACTTCTGGCTTGTATTAAAGATGAAATCAGTTGCATGGGAAAACCCACTACACTCTTGGAATACAAAACCCTCACACAAACCATTGATGTCTGTTGTTGGGAACACAAGGGCAAGATCTCTTGCAAAATGACATCCTCTACACCAAATCCTCCTGCCAAGCAGTCTTCTGAATGGACCAATGCCAACATGTTCAGATCCAGAAGTAACTCCTCCAGAAACAACAAACCTGGAAAGACAACTTCTTCCACCATGTCTACTCCTAAAGCTCTGGACCTTGATTCTAAGCTGGGCAAGGACAGAAAGCTAACTTCTGAGGAACACCAGAGATGCCTGAATAAGCAGCTCTGTCTCTTTTGCAGCAGACCTGGTCATACTACCCGTGAATGCAACAAGTTGTCTTTGCATGCTGCCAAAGGCCACACTGTGACAGTCAATCTGGAAACCAAACCAGATGCCTTGGATGAGGCAAAGAATAGTCTGTAACCCTCCTGACTTCACATGGGATGAGGGTCACATTGACTCAACCAACCTATGCAATCCCTCTGATTCCACCTTGAAGCTCTCCAGATGTTTCTTGATGAAAATATCTTGTCTGGACTCCTCCACTCCTTATCCTCTCCACATGGAGCCTGTCCTATTTGTCAAAAAGAAGGACGGCTCCCTATGTCTTTGCGTGGATTTTCATAGCCTAAACAAAATCCCTGAGAAAGACAGTTATCCACCACCACTCATTGCTGACCTTCTAGACTCTCCAAGCTGCACCAAAGTTTACACCAAAATCAACCTTCAGTCCACTTACCATCTCATCTGGATTGCCTCTGGGGATGAGTGGAAGACAGCCTTCTGAATGTGCTATGGCTCCTATGAATGGTTAGTTATGCCTGAGGGTTTTACCAATGCTCCAGCAGCTTTCCAACACCTTGTCAATAGCATCTTTGCCAATATTGTCATATTTCACATGTCTGGTGTAGAGACTCACACCTCTGTATGCCCATAGAGCCCTATATTGCAATGTATCTGCATACAGTTTGCAGCATGAACTTGCAGCATTATTTCCCATATCATTCCCCATACACACATGATCTTCCTGTGCATCATGTGACACATGCACTACTCTTCCATGATGTGTTCCCACATGCATTCCACACACTTTCCCACTCTTCATTGCCCATCATCCAGGAGCATCTATCCATTGTCCAGCAAGTCTTACTGGTATGTTTTCACACTTTATCTCTATTATGACACCATATTCCATCATGGACCCTTACTTACATATACCTTCTTCATTCCTGCACCTTACTCACATCAGCTCCACATTATGGGAATGTGCTTAGTTGGCTTTTGCATATTGGCATTCACATTTTGCTCACTTAGTTAGTTACTGTTAAGTCACATGCTCGAGGGGGGGTTGGATCACAAGGGCTTGGCCTCAGCTTGTACACTGTGCCCCTTTCCTGAGTATGTGCCCTTAATTTCTGGGGGCTGGAACAGTCTTCCAAAGTTTCTGGGTTTTGACTAGGGCAGACAACCAATGTCCAGATCTGAAATGTGAGATAAATCCAGTGGACACCTGGATATTGTTTGGACAAGCAGATAAGGCTAATTCAGATGAAGTCCGGACTAGAAACTGACAGGGGATAGGCTACCCTAAGGTAGAGCTAGAGATATAGTCTAGGATGCAATCCTAAGACTTAGATGATGACAAGTGACTTAACTCAAGTCCAGAGGACATAGGAATGAGCAGGAACTAAGATGATATTCAAACTGAAGTATTTCCAAGAGTTACAGGAGGTTTATATACTGTAGGTATCATATAGGAATGAATCAGCAAACACAAAGGCTATGTATGAAGCATATGCAAAGTCTATTAGTAAGTAGGATGGATCACCAATAATGAATACCGGAAATGAAATGTATGTAATGAATGATATTCAAATTGAGGAACTACAGGAGTATCTACAGGGGTTATATACTGGACAATATCTGAGGGGATCAGTAAGCAAAGGAGCAGGGCTATGTACAAGCATGTGGAAACACATTAGTAAGTAAGATGGAACATAACTAAATGAACTCAGAGATGAAGACTCATACAAGGATCAATCAGCAAGATGGAAGAAGAGGTAACTGAATGCCAGAAAGGCAGAGATGTCTAAATGGGGATAGGCACAGGATATCAGACAGAGGGCAGGAATACATCCGGAGATAGTTATGGTTGATATCCGGAGGTCTGGACATCTGAGGATTCAGAAGGTGAGGTGGATACAGGACTGGGATACAATGAAGTGGATATAGTCCTGAATCCAAGATGAGGTGAAGTCTGGATGTCTTGCTGGATGGAGTGCACATAGAGTGGACAGGATAGGGTGGTACAGATCAGGCTAGCAGTGAGGATCCAGAGGTCCAGAGCTCAGGGGTAAATCCAGAGTGGAGTCAATCCTACTGAGGTGTGGAGCACACAGCAGAAGGGGATCTGGCAATGAGTCAGATATGGGGTCCAGATGAAGGCTCAGAAGGTGTGGGAATATTATGGAATGTGAGTCCAGATTGTAGGATATGACAGAGGTCTGTGAACTCACCTGTTTTATAGACCATGCCTGATTGTGCAGTTGCTGCAGTTCTGAGGGACAGAGGGCCATGTTTCACTCTGTGGGGGATGATGTAGTTGATTCCATCAAGGACTCATCATGTAACCATCAGTGAGGTGAGGCAGTCCTGTTGAAGCCCCTAACACAATGTCATTCATACAGGTTGTTGTGAAATCAATGATCTGTCTTACACTGCATTTCCTGACTTGGGCTTCATCTGAACTTGCTTCAGGCAGGATGATTTCATCAACATCCATATCCAGCAATGCAGTTTGCAGCACTATGTACAGTGGCTCAAAAAAGTGTCCCAATGTTTGTGAGTTTTCATGTAATTGCTTCATTGTGAGTCAGGGAGTGGGAATATGACTAAGCTATAGGGAGGCATCAGAGAGCTCTGCTTCTTTGTGTTGTCTTTGTTCCCTATAGCGTGGGAATCTGACATTAGTGTGTGAAAATATGGACATTTTAATCTGGTGACTCATTGGGACACTTTTTTGACTTTCAATTTGATCAATACAATCTCTATAATTCTAGTACTTGGTGTGTCCTCCTGTTGCTCTAATCACCAGTGTTGTTTTGAACCTGGGTTATAACTGAATAGGTTATAACTGGTACGTCCTACCTCGAATTAACTGTGAAATAACTGGGGTTAATGGGGTTAAATAATAGTTAATTGCTACCAGGTACTGGCCAGTCTGAGTCATTGATAACAATTGGAATATTTGAGCTTGATGGACCACTTCCCATGTCCAATGACTCCCCCGGTGCATTCCCACCAGTGTGTGACACTTCATCTTCAGGCAGGCGTGATAATAGCTTGTAGAATAATGTCTCACTCTCCATGTTTTTCACACCCTGGAACCAAAACTCATCCCATCCAACCTCAACCAACCAATTGAACATGTCCCAGATGCAAAACATTCTCTTCTGACCAAAGAAACAACAAGTTTGCTGTGGTCTGCTACCTTCTGCAGGGTGTGAGATGTCCTCCTCAATTTCGATGACTTCTCCTAACCCAGATGTGTATTCATCATTGTCGTCATTGTTGGCATCTTGCCACAACTGCAGTGCAACAGCTGAAAATGAGGATGGTAAAGGGCTGTTGCTCTTGGGTCCATTCTCTGCAACACAATCACCGTCATTGTCATCTATGTTGGACTCATCGGTGAGCAGTGTGTCAATGTCAGCATTCATGACGAGTTCCTGATCTTCCATACAACTGCCAGTAGGATCACAGTTGGTGACTGTTTCAGGGTTGCCGAATTGGTGTTTGAGTCAGCACTGGGCTGTGCCATCAATGGCATGTTGTCGATGGAGCTCCATCTTGAGAAATGACATGTTGCGGTTCTTCTGCACACCCAAGTGAGTCCATCTTTTTGATTTTGTGTTGCCCATTGAAGAAAACAGGCACTCGACTGATGCAGAGTTTGGGACAAGGCTCAACACAAGTTATGCGAGCTGCACAAGTGGATTTTCTGAGTCGAGCAAGCCCCAGATGCAGAGAAAATCACAAGTTCCATCCTAAAATGATGGATTTAGCAATTGAAAGTTCCATGAGTCCTAAAAACACACCTCATCCTTCAGTGAGTCTTTCAGTTCTAGTATCGGCCACACAGCTGGTGCAAATATTCCAGTATGGTGTTGATATTCATAGATTTGGCCAATAAGACCAGCTGGTGTATCACTGATGTCAAGCTTGAAAATGCGAAGATATAGCCGTCAGGCAATTCCATAAGGACACTGGGTGGGAGGACATGACCATTGATGAGGTTGGTGTTGATCAGTGGGTTTAGGAACAGAGCCATAATGAACAGGTCTTGGTCTGCACATTCCCATCTCTTCTCAATACTGTTGATGATAGATGTGACAGGATGTGACTCATCTTTGTCTTCCACAAGTGGAAGACTGCAATCCATGATGCGAAGATTTATGTAGGTGCGGTAGAGTTTGCTGAGGAGGAGTAAGACCTGGTTGCAGCATGTATTTGAGTGTTGCGAGATGTTGACAGCAATTGTTACGAACTAGGATGGTCATAACAATAGCAGCTCGATAAGAGTGATGGCTGAAGTTATGGCTAAGACCTTGCAAATACAAGGGTCGTAAGACAAGGCAAAGAGAGTGTCTTTGACTTGAATATCGGTTCAGACAACTTAGGATTGGTGGTCCTAAGTGAGAGAATATTCAGGTGAAAGCCTAATAAATTAAAGTGAAGTACTACTGAGTACATTGTCGACTATATATAGGTTTAGAGACGATTTAGGGCAGGCATGAGTTGACAATGAGTCAGAGATAAGAAGTGAGTCAGAGATAAGAAATGAGTCATCTAGCAATGGCAGTGGCGATTGTGATGTAATACAAAATGAGTCAAGATAAGTCTAATGGTGGCAGTGTGCAGCTCATGACGTAATACAGATGAGTAAGAAAGGGAAAATGAATAGGGGCATACATGGCTGTAACAGCAATGGCAAGTGGCTCGATATGAGTCTTGAGTCTGTATGATGAGTAAATATGAGTACTGGTGCAATGAAGGGTTTAAACCACAGACCAAACGAGTCGTTTCCAGAATGAATCATTTGAAACATGGTCAAGAACTTTGCAAGCCTTGTCTTTTGCTTGACAAGTCCTCCCTGCAGCTACCAATAATTTGTCCTCATGTTTCATCACTGTCACTTTCATTGCCTTTGAAACCTCAAGAAGTTGAGATAGTGAACAGAAATGTGATATCCATCAAGTGACAACAGGCAGGATAAGTGCGAGTATTTTGTGAAACATTGACATTTGCTTGCCATTCAGCAGCCCCAGTGTGAACGAGTGATTGTTGAACCACTTAATAATTTAATTGGCATTGTCAACAACAGCACTGATATCTCCATTGGCCTTGTAGTAGTTGCCCAAAATGAGATTTATCTTGATTGAACATTAAATGTAGTTCATGCTAGAATATAAATGGTATGTACCTGATGACTCCAGTAGTCCATAACAAGCATCCATGGGTATTTTTGTAGGAAGAGGAGATGACCTCGCTTCTCGTCTCCACCAGCATCTCCACAAGCACCAATCATGGTCAGAAGCAGAACATCTTTGATGTAATGATATTCTTTCTCCATGAGCTCGAATACTAGTTGACCAGTCTTTTTTTTGCCGATGTATCATGAACATGCAGAACATATGTCTGCCAGCTGACCATCGCCCTTGTGGCAGCTTCATCCACCTTGCAACTTGCTTGATTCATTATCATCTGTGTGTTGGTAAACATTGCCATGCACACTCTTCATTCAGGGACATTAATGGAACTTTGCCTGTGGCTTCATGACACTGTAGTCAGCATTCTTTGGGCTATCTTCTAATAGAATAATAATCTTAAGCATACTGCCAGTTAGCTACCAAATGGCTTGAAAACTATAATATTACTGTTCTATCATAGCCAGCACAGTCCTCAGACCTCAACCCTATTGAACAACCCTGGAAAATGCTCAGTAGATTACTTGGAGTGTATCAAGATCCTCCATAGGGGCTATTTCAGCCATTGGTGGGAGCTGCAGCACAGTAGGGGAAGATTGGTAATAAGTAATGACAGGAATTGATAGATAGTGTGTTTATAAGGGTGGGAGAAGTGATTAGAGCATCAGGAGGAAAGACCAAGTACTGTAATTATAGAGATTGTATTGATCAAATTCAAAGTCAAAAGTGTCCCAATGAGTCACCAGATTAAAATGTCCATATATTCACACAATAACATCAGATTTCCACACTATGGTGGACAAAGATAACACAAAGAAGCAGAGCTTTCTGACATCTCCCTATAGCTTAGTCATATTCCCACACTCCAACTCACAATCAAGCAATTACATGAAAATCCACAAACATTGGGACACTTTTTTGAGCCACTGTATAGTAAAGGACTACATAATCAAACTCCACTGGAGAATTACTGAAGCACCCACTCATGGTCAGTTTACATAATCATGCCAGCCAGCTGGGTTTCAATTTTGCCAGTCATTCTCTATATCATAGCTGTTCTTCTTAAGATTGTGTCTCTTTCCCTGACTCATGTGACCCTGAATATGTAGTACTTAGCATGCAATGATCTATGATCTCCCATTCTTTAGAATAAGAATATTTGTGCAGGCAGGCACACTTTTGTTGATTATATATATCAGTGGGCAGGACTGAACTCTGAGCGAAAGTGCACTGTGGCCCAGGTCCACAATACCTTGTACAATAGAATATTGTGTTCATCCACAATGGTAAGCTAGTCCACATTAAGCCATTCACTACAAATACTGATCTTGCAATTGGATGGTCCTCTTTCCACCACCACTACCTCAACATGATAACATATCAGGTATTTTGAACTTAATATAGACTTTCATAGATGTATAGATGTATTAAATACATTGTATGTCATTTCTGAGATTGCTATGTAGTGACACTGAAGCCAATGGTGTAGAATTAGGAAACAATGTCCAAATGCGCCATGTCAAATGATGATGCACCTATGGGGAAGTGTATCAGAATTGATGAAGGTGAGTATTGATACAATATTGTTGATCTTATTATTGACACATATTACAGGAAGTCAGACAGCACCCCTAGTGGATGAGCACACATGGAGAATTTTGGACAAGTTTCTTATGACCAATATGACATATCCTCAGATGGAGGAAGCCTTTCTAGTGTATCTTAGCAATTGATATTCTGAAAATGAATGTATCATATCCCATATTCCGGACCTAGATCCCATAATATTCCCACGCCTTCTGTGCCTATTTCTGGACCCCATATCCAACTCATTCCCTGATCACCTTCCACTGTATACTCTACACCTCAGCAGGATTAGCTCCCCTATAGAATTACCCCTGAGCTCTGGACCTCCAGATCTTTGCTACTAGCCTGATCTGTACACCCCTATCCTGTCCACCCTATGCACATTCCATCTAGCAAGACATCTAGACTTTACCTGCTCTCAGATTCCAGACTACAGCATATATCCCAGTCCTGTTTCCACCTTGCCTTCCAGATCTCCAGATCACCAGACCTCTGGATATTAACTGTTACTATCTCCGGACCTATTCCCACCCTCCATCCAAGATCCTGCACCTATCCCCATTTAGGCATCTCTGCCATTCCGGTTCTTGGTTATCTCTGTTTCTGTCTTGCTGATTGATCTTTGTACTAGTTTCATCTCCAAATTCATTTACTTATGTTCCATCTTACTTACTAATATGTTTCCACATGCTCATACATAGCCTTACTCCATTGCTTACTGATCCTCTCAGATATCCTCTAGTATATAACCCCTGTATAACTCCAGTAGAGTCCCCAGTCTGAATATCACCTTAGACTTGCCCAATCCTCTTCTGGACTTCAGTCCATCTTAGTTTGTCCTTTTCCATAAGGCCTAGAGATGGATTCCCTAGGCCAGAATTCTGGACCTTCAGATTTGTCCCCTATGTCTCTGTCCCAAGTCTAGGGATTGCTTCCCTAGGCTGGAGTCTTGCCTTTCTGGCACTTACCCTCTTTCCAAACTTTGGTCCAATCCCTGTCTCTCCAACTCTACCTTAGGGTAGTCTATCTCTGTTTGTTTCTATATCAGACTCTGTCTGATGTAGCCCCTATTCCTTCTGGACCTCTGGATGTCCTGTCCTTCAGACATTCCACCCTCCATACCTTCAGACATCCCATCCTCCATGGCCTGTCCTGTGTACCTCCAGACATCTTGTCCTCCAGACCTTCAGTCCTCCTGTCCTCCACACTTCTGGATGTCTGGACCTTCTATCCTTCCATCCTGTTTCCCATAGAGATATTACCATGGGGTCTCTCCACTTCCTGTGCAGTGGAAACTCCTCTGAGTATTTCCTGTACTCCTCCAGAACTCTCCTGTGCTCCTCCGGATGTTTCCCGCACTCCTCCAGAAGTCCTTTGGACTTCATCTGAAATGAAGGGCACATACTCGGGTAAGGGGCACAGTGTACAAGCTGAGGCCAAGCCCCTCTAAGTTAGTCTCTCTCTCCCTTGAGCATGGTTCTTAACACAGTTCCACTCTCAATGGCACCCAAATAGCACCCTCACATCACACATTTTCTAGGCATCATAGTAGACCAGGAGCTAACATGGAAGGAACACACTGCTCATGCAGTCGCCAAAGGCACCAAATACATACTCCAAATATGACACCTATCCAGAACAGCAATGGGCATCCCAACCAAGTTAATGCCAGACAGTAGTCATTCCCAAATTCGCATACAGTGCAGATATCTAGTTCCAACCGATCTACAAGCAAGACTTGAACACCATACAGTGAGGATCCAAAGGCATAGTGAACAAACTCACATCTGTCCAATGAATAGCAGCAATCAGTATAACCAGAGCAATGAGAACCACCACAACTGACTCCCTTGAAGCACATGCAAATCTCCTCCCCATCTCACTCCTCCTGCAGAAATTCTGTCACCAAGCTGCTGTCCAACTAGCAACTCTACCTCAATCACACCCTTTACACCCCAGACTCAAATGGATTGCCAGACACAAAGTGAAGAAACACCAATCCTCCTTACACAACCTCCTGCACTCCTTTCACATCTACCCAGCCAACATAGAGACCATAGACCCAACACACAAGACCTAACTGCTCAAATGACATGTATACAAGACATATGTAGCAAAAATGAAGAAAGATGCAACATGAAACCACAACCAACTCACCAACACCATCAAGATCTATATGGGCAGCTCTGGCCACAATGGAGGAATCAGAGCAGCAGCAATACTCACCCAAAACGGACAGGAACCCCATACCCTACAATATCACCTTGGCTCAGACAAGGAACATACAGTATATGAAGCAGAAACCCTAGGACTAACACTGGCAGTGCAACTCTTACTGACAGAAAGGAACATAACATACCCAGTATCAATCTTGCTCAACAATCAAGCAGCCATTCAACATGGTGAAGCCAAAAGCAAAGAAGGCAGTGGATTCCTAGTGACCCAACTAGATGAAATGACAAGACACATTGAAAAGCAAAGACAGAGCAACAACAATGATGACTTCAAGCTAGCAATCAGATGGGTACTAGGACACAAAGGCATCATAGGCAATGAACTCACAGACCAAGAGGCCAAGAAGGCAGCAGAAGGACACCACAATGACAGCACCAACCATTGATTACCAAAGTACCTACAAACAGACCCTCTCCTATGCAGTGCTCCCACCCTCCTTGCAGCACAGAAGATCAAACTTTGGACACAGTGGAAAGCTCTATGGGAAAAATCACCAAGATATGAATGAACGAGAGCCATTGATCCATCAATGCCATCATTGAAATTCTTCAAGGTCACAAATGGACTGCTGAAACGATCATCCAGCATGCACATTCAACTCTGCACCCAACACATACCTCTGAACCATCACCTACACTGCATCAATGTTACTGAATTCCCACACTGTCCAATTTGTTGAAATGTGAATGAAACCATCCACCACTACCTCTTCAATTGTCCACAATACCAAAGAGAATGCCATATCTTTGCCAACACAGTCCGCCACAATGCCACATCCATAGCACACATCCTAACATCCATAGAAGCCCTACCTCACATCATCAGATATGTCAATAGCATGGGCCACTTCAAACCAACCTTCAGTGAGCTGTCATATAATTAGAAAAATGCTACTACAGTAAATTTTGTACAGCCTGCACACACCAGCACCATCCACATACTCCCCAACAAAAGGATAGATGACATTGTTGTCACTGATGAAATCAAAGGAAAATCAACGTCAATAGAGAAGGATAAACCTGACAACCAATAGCTGAAGACAAAAAGCCAGCAGGCCCAGCTAAAAACATTGTCACTCCCAAATCTTATCACCTCTACTAATGTACTTCTCCTCTTTGCAGCATTCCTTTTTGTACTTGCCACTTAGTGGCGGAGTACAAGTCCACATCAACCATCCAATAGATCTAGAACCAACAAAACAAAACAACAGAAAAAGCTTATGACAAGTTAAATGTCTAACATAGGGTCAATGACCCCAAAGGACTAAATCTGAAGCAAAAAAAAAGGCAGTTCCATTCCCTCTGAACAGGCATTCTCAAGTGGAGGAATCACTTCTACTGTGCAATGCAATGCACTCGCAACCTCCACATTCACTGTGTTACAGTTATTGAAGGGAGCATATAGGAATGGGCACCTTTCTGTGGCAGTAGAGGCTGAGGGACATGCAGCTTTGTTGGAGAATGTAACTATGAGTACAAATACTCCATCTATGTTTTTTTTTGCTAGATGTAAAAAAAATTGGGTTCAGTTCACGTTCGAACCGAAAAAAAAACCGAACCTGACCGTTTTGAACCGTTCGCAAAGGTCCAGTTCGAGGTTCGGCGAGTCTAGTAGAACCGGACCCAGGTTCGGTTCTCGGTTCTTGCTCAACCCTCTATGAACCGGACCAAACCGGACCGCGGTAGCACTACCTCCTGCAATGAGTCATTGCAGGAGGTCAAGAAGGTTCAAGCTCCATCTCGGCTTGCGTCGAGCCGAGGCGTCTCAAGTTGGCTACTGCAGCTGAACTTCAGTCACCGTACTGGCTCTTAGTAGTCAGTGACTGCTGATACTTGTCCAAAAAGAAATAATAACAGTTCCTGTCACTTGGTACAATCGTCACAACAAGGTTTCAGCTCTTGAAATCCTGGACTGGTAGATACGTTGGAGGGATGCCATCTAACGGTAATTGGGATAACTTATCAATAGAGTACGTTCAAGTTAGCGTCCAATGAGATACTGTAATGCGGGAGAAGTTGCATATCTAACCAGTAGTCCCATGAGGCGTCAGGATAGCAGAGTAATTCTGAAGAGGCTCAAAAGAAACCGCTTTCATGTAACATCCTTGCAAGTTTCTCTTCTTCCTTTTCACGCGGCTCCCTTTCTAAGCTCAGCTGCCAGAAGACATCGCTGACATCTTTGTCGCCAAACTGTCCAAGCGCATCGTCCAAGTAGACAAGAACAGATGGGAGGGGATGGAAGTTGTGCGGCTGAGTCTGCCAGCGTTGGAGGTCTTGGATTACCTCTGAAGCCTTCTGGCGTTTTCGGAAGTTCACCAGGTTGTTCGGAAGGGAATCCTTACTGCCGTCTTGAATGTGTGTCAGGGCAGTAAGAAAAACACCTGTTTTTGAGGATCAATTCTCTCATGTTCATAGATGTAGCGTCGACTACGTACCAACGAACGGAACACACGGCGGGGAAACTTTCGCAAGGGCATGTCGATAGACGTTAAACGTCTTGTAAGAATTGATTGTTGTCTCGCATATCTCCAACTGTGACATGTATCTGGTGCCCACTTGCTCCCAAGAGCGTTTAAGCCGACGGATAGGTGACGAATTTAGGCCAGATACGATGGCTAACATGGTCGAAAAATTCTGAATGTGCCTGCAGCGCTATAGGAAAGACGTTAGTAGAGCACTGAAGTTTCACGAAATAAACAAACGTCAGCGACACTGATGAAATGTTTCATGATGGAAGCGCGTCTGCGAGGTTCGTCTTTGCAAAGGATGACATATGCAACCCAGTTGGCTACCTAAATAGGTGCATCTGTGAACCGCGAACCACGTGCAGGCAGGAAACTTACTCTGTTACTACGGCGAATAAAGTTTGCGATGTTGTCATGGTGGTCAGTTTTCGATTCCTTGGACCGCAAAAGGCATTCAGAAGGTCGAATCTTCTGGTATAACTGGCTTTCTGTGATGGTCAATTGCCTTGCTAGCTCCAAGGGGTCAATATCGAGTAGTTCCATCCGTTTAGGGACTATCGGCGGAGGTGGCGGATCCAGAGCCGTGCTAATCGTCACTTTGTTTGGATCACGCCCTCGCTGCTATTCCATAATTCAGATAGTGCAACCCCGACGAAGAACCAGCACGCACAGCACGTTTAATGATCACCATAAGCTGCTTTGCCGCGGGTAGAGTAATGACTTCGTCATGCGAAACAAATTCCATCATGTGATCAAGGATGTACGCGTCGTCTCTCTCCAACACATCATCATCTTGAACCATTGACTTGATCGTGTTGATAACCCTAAAATAGTTCAGCTACAAGGTCTGAGGCAATAGCCTGGCTCACCTGATACGAATAATCTGTTGCTTAAGCTTCCGCCACTCCACCAGCTCTGGGGAGTTTAGACCTTCTGGAGGCCGTATCCAGAAGCGCTCCACCAACAACCTGAACAATTCATCAAGGGTAGTGAAGGTCTTGTAAGTCATCAGGAAAGCCTTGCTGAACTTGGGATCTATAATCAGGAGTTAAGAAAGACGGAGATATACTAGCAGAATCTAACTTACCAGCATACTCGTGAGCGGTTAGCCGCTCAACTAGGCCTGTAACCGTCCCACCTCGCGTTGTTCCATCAGGGTCAACCAGTACATCATTAGGATCGTATGTCGGCCTCAGATACCATGGTTTAGTTTCGGCATTGAGGGTAATGAGATAGTGAGAAGGCGCATCGTCACCAAAGAATGCCCTTATCTTATCCTGTCGAGGGGGGGTTCTTATTATGCGAAGATCTGCGGTCTATGTTAGATTATGCCAATAGTGACGAAACAGAAGAACACCCACCTTCATGGTCAGCCCATGGTATTGTATCGGATATCAGAGGTGGTTTTCCGTTTATTACAGGCGAAGCTGGTATTTCTGTTATAGGCGTCGTATTATCGATACTTGCAACATTCCTGAGGATATCATCTGTATCATCTGCTTCGTCATTGTTCGTATCGTAGAGGCCGTTATTCGTGCTGTTAAGTGCCTCTTCGGCCAATATTGCTGTGATGAGGCTACGTTGTGACATACGCCACTCAATGGGGCTCTTGTTACTCCGTTCAAGAATATCTGTCTGTTCCTGCACGATGACAAGAAGACTTTCGAGAGTCTGCCGCAGAACCTGAAGATTAAAGTCCAGTGAGGAATTCAGCGCTTCGAGGGTATCATAATGTTCATCCCGACCGCGCCATGTTTCACATTCTTCTACATGACGAATATGCTGTGTAGTGGTGAGTAGTGCAGCGCCATCGTCGTATACAGCCTGAGTGGTAGCTTCGAACGACCGTACGAGGACTCTGGCTTTCTCAACAGTCCGGAGATATCGAGCACCATCATTGAGTTCCTCCTGATCCACTGGTTCGATGTCGACATGCCGAGCGACGTGCAGGTCGCCAAGGTGATGGAGAAGGGATGACAACTGATTCATCATTCGTAAGCCGGCTGGCGTTACCACGTTGGCTGAGAAAGCAGAGTTTCAGCCGAGATATGCGGACTTGCAGGACTTATACTCACCAGGTGCAGAAGCACGTAAGCCTTCAACGAATTCATTTGACTTGCCTTGTACCTGCAGTATTAGCCCCACGATATCGTTTAAGACTGCGGTGTCCAAGCTTCGCCGGGGAGCTTCCTCATTGCCATCGATAGAAACCCAACCAAATCCTTTCCAAGCTCCAGCAGCCCCAGCCCCAGCCTTCCCAAGTCCTGCATGTGGTGCTGAGAAGTAACCCTGCAAGTGTCTCGGACCCTTGTCGCAATCCAACTCGTCCCAACGACAACTTTGCGTGATCGACACGAAATCGACAACAGAGCGCTCAAGTTCCGTAGCATCAGTTGCAAGGTTGCCGATGCTGTCACTTGCGCTCCAAGGACCGTCATTCAATATCGCTCTCGCAGAGAGTATAAACTTCGAGAGTGTCGCAATAGCCCGACGCTGTGCAGGAACGAGTAACGTATGCGACGCTGTGCTCGTGCTCCGTTCATCTTGTGATCCTTTCGGAACAAGATGACTTGGTATTTGACCGAAAGAAGGACCAGAGACGTAGAGTAAATCACGAACCGAAGCGATAGCAGCACTAATGAGGCTATCAACGATTACTTCATCATCTGCGACGCGAGGGATTCCAAATTGCTGCAGATACGTGATGACAGAGCGAATAGCTTGTTGAGACCGATCTAGCAATCCAGAAATAAGCTCTGGTGGACGAGGAGAAAGTACTTCTTCCAGAGATGGTACTGCAGTCCGGAGGTGAGAAGGATCTTCGTCTGGCGGAAGTTCGTGGACTTGGGGAGGCGTGGGTAATGTGGCAGCTTCCTTTAATCGAGAGCCCTTTCTGGCCACATGCGGACGGTGAGAGTACGAGAAGAGACGAGGATCTTGATCCATAGACAAAGACGTTTGATGACCAGGAGATGAGCTCTCCCGCGTAGTAAGACTCCTCTTTAGTACTTGGTCAGTCAGCGGACCGGAGAAGCCACTGGGAACGCGGTACGTATGACGGTTGGAGGGAAGGGCAGAAGAGTCTGTCTGGGCACGAGTGCGCCCTGGTGGAAGGTCCGCGAGAAGGAATGGGGAGGACGGTTTTGCGGGAGTCGTCAGAACACTATTTAGGTTATTTGAGTGATGAGATGATGACGTGCTGGGTGGTCGGGCAGGCTCTACTGGATTCGACTGGGATTGAGACGGATCATTCATGACGGATAGTGTGTCGACATCCCCATAAGAAGCAAAACCGAGACCAGCCCCGGTGCCAGCGCGAGAGCTCCATTGTGATGAAGTTAAGCCCGCAAGATCACAATCAAACGTTTCATCCTCCGTGTCGAATGGTAGATCACGAGATAGTTGCCCAGTGACTGTGTTGACATAGTAAATCTACATGTAAAAAGAGCTGTCACCTGAAATTGAACGCTGAAGATGAGAAAAACCATACCTGACCATCTCCGGAGACCTGGGGAATCCAGAAGTCTCTTGCAATTGAAGAAGGGGGAGTGTCCGGCCTGAGTGGACTTGTTGGGATTGCGGGAAGCCCCCTCACGCTCATTCGTGCTGCCTTGGAGACTTCGGGGAGGCGCCAAATTGATGAACTCTCCATGATAAAAGCCTGCAATCACGGATAATATCAAAGGTGAATTGTGTTGGCTGGTGAGGCATTCACATCTATTTTAAAATGTTTGCATTGCCCTTGCATCCATGAGCAGGATCATCCATGTGCACGACACGTGAATTATTGACCCATCAGCACTCAGCAGTGCCTTCATCAGGAAGGCAGTTACAGCACATGCACACGCTGTATCGCAACGACCAGCTTTTCAAGCTCAGTGCGAATCAGATATCCCTGCTTACAGGTCGAGTCTACATGCACAACATATAGTAGTCCATCAACAGTTAACAGCTATTCAGAAAACAAAAAACCTTGACCCTGGGTATTAGTAAAAATGAACCATAAACAGCATGTCCAGACAGTACACAAAGAACGTATACTGTATACTGCCATCAGAAGGTGCAGGCCAGCCCGTGACAAGCAGTAATTACTCATGAAAAGGATCGTGGGCTCTAAGAAATGACGGGCTCCGCAATCACGAACTCACCGCAGCCAAGAATATACAAACAACTTTAAATCGAACAGGTGTCCAAAATTGCATATTTCAGTGACCACAACAACCTGAGCAGCTGGGAGAACGCTTCCTCTTCACCAGTTCATGCTGCTCTCTTGCAGAACAGGAGCGGAAATAACTCCAGGGTTGAGGTGACGGCGCTCCCTCATGACAGGAGGAGAGATTCGGCGCTCGTAGCCATCATCATCACTCCGGACACCTTGGTATCCACGTAAACTGTCTTCCGCGTAGTAAAAGCTCCGCCTTCGCTGGCCGCCGATACTGTCCCGATCAAAATCCTGACCATCGGGGCGTACGCCTGCGGGATCGCCGACAGTTTCCGAGAGACGGCGATGCGCGACCTCTTTTCGGCGCTTGTAGTACCGATAAGCAACGATGGCAAGGATGATGAGTGCGATGGCACCGAGCGACGTTACGACACCGATGATCGCGTCCTGGCGGACTTTAGAAGAATTTAGACTACTGCTGGAGTTGCCGCCGCCTGGAGCGGGACCTGAGATGGATGCCAATGCAAGAGTGGGGTCAACACATTGGGCAAGCGACGCGGGTATACTGCCTTCTTGTCCAGTATAGAACGAGGACTTTTTATTGGAGATAAGCGAAGCGAGTGTGGAGACCTGGTCATTAGGGAGATAACCCTGCCAGATTGTACCAAGCAGTGCAACGTCTTGAATGCCGGTGTACGACGAGGGTTCATAGACCAGCAGCTCGTAGCTTTGTACCTGAGAAGCTGGAATACATTTTCGGTACGTATGCACGTATACGATGTTGGGAGCACGTACCATCAATTCCAAGTGCTGTTGCAATTATCGAGGGGAAGTACTCGAATATCTGTCCTTGGGTATCCGAATTCGTTGCAACCCATTCCCAGTTAAGGGACTGATTGAACAGCACGCTGATCAGGGTGTCAGTAGTTGGCACATTTTTGACATTGAGCGTAGGCTGTGGCATAATGGCCGTTGGGAGATACGTCGGGATTGGTGCTGCAGAAGGCTGACTGGCTGGTGGAGCGGATGCAAGCGAGAACGTTGTCGTTGGGAGGTCAGGATTTGAATTAGTTGGGGAGGCTATGGGTGTGGACGTGGCGGTATTGACCAGCAGAGACGAGACCGTGGACAGGTACTGGTAATTGGAATTCGTGGTCGTAGAAATATAGGTACTTGACAATGACATCATGGATGTCTCATTAAAAGTACCAGTACTGCTCATGGTCGTGCTATTTGGGAAGCTGATGACGGTCGATGAAATAAATGCTGTGGACGTGCCATTGCTCGAACTCGTGCCAGTTGTGATAGCAGTAGCAGTAGTCCTGCAACAAGGTATGATCAAACGGTCTCAAGCCCGATAGGATTTAAACTTACACGGTACCAGATGTAGAGGAAACCGTCGTCGACGTAGAAGATGGAGTGCAACCAATGCCATCGCAAGATGACGTAGAGGTAGAAGCAACCGAAGTGGTGGTAGGAGAACCAGAAGTTACAGCCGTGTTCGAAGTAAGTTGGCTTGAAGTGGTAGATGTCGATGTGGGAAGTGGACAACCAATACCAATGCCAAGTAACCCATCGCACGACGACGACGATGCGGCGGAAGCAACCGAGCTGGTGGTAGGAGAACCAAAAGTTACAGGCGGAGTAGAAACCGGTTGGCTTGAAGTAATAGATGTCGATGTGGGAAGTGGACAACCAATACCAATGCCAAGTAACCCATCACACGACGACGACGACGCGGAAGCAACCGAACTGGTGGTAGGAGAACCAGAACTTACAGGCGCACTTGAGACTGGTTGGCTCGAAGTGATAGATGTCGAAGTGGGAAGTGGACAACCAATGCCAATGCCAAGTAGCCCATCACACGACGACGACGCGACGGAAGCAACCGAACTGGTGGTAGCAGAACTAGAAGTTATAGGTGGAGAAGAAGCTGGTTGGCTTGAAGTGGTAGATGTCGATGTGGGAAGTGGACAACCAATGCCAATGCCAAGTAGCCCATCACACGACGACGACGACGACGCGGCGGAAGCAACCGAACTGGTGGTAGCAGAACCAGAAGTTATAGGCGGAGAAGAAGCTGGCTGGCTTGAAGTGGTAGATGTCGATGTGGGAAGTGGACAACCAATGCCAATGCCAAGTAGCCCATCACACGACGACGACGACGCGACGGAAGCAACCGAACTGGTGGTAGCAGAACCAGAAGTTATAGGCGGAGAAGAAGCTGGTTGGCTTGAAGTGGTAGATGTCGATGTGGGAAGTGGACAACCAATACCAATGCCAAGTAGCCCATCACACGACGACGACGACGACGACGACGCGGCGGAAGCAACCGAACTGGTAGCAGGAGAACCAGAACTTACAGGCGCACTTGAGACTGGTTGGCTCGAAGTGGGAGATGAAGAAGGAGCTGGGCAACCAATCCCCAGACCAAGAAGTCCATAGCAAGACGACGTTGTGGCGGGAGCCGCCGAGCTCACAGGACCAGAACTTACAGGCACGCTCGAAGTTGGTTGGCTCGAAGTGGGAGATGATGAGGGAGCTGGACAACCAATCCCAAAACCGAGCAGTCCATTGCAGGATGATGTTGTGACGGGAGCCGCCGAACTGGTGGCAACAGAACCGGAACTTGCAGGCGTGCTCGAAGCTGGTTGGCTCGAAGTGGGAGATGCCGAGGGAGGCGAGCAACCAACCGCCAAACCAAGTAGTCCGTTGCAAGATGACGTTGTGGTAGATGGTGGGTTGGAGTTGGATGATGCAGCAGCAGTAGTGGAGGCAGAAAATGGTGCTGGCGAACTAGACGGGATAATCGTAGGCGGAGTACAACCTAACCCCAAGAGCCCAATACATGACGAGCTGGTCGATGACGCAGAGGTTGAGGGGCTAGAGCTTGTGGTAGGCGTACCAATGCCTGTGGACGAGACCATCCCGCCGCTGGACACAGAGGACGTTGCGGCACTAACACCAAGTCCGCTTCCAACCCCACCCAAAATGCTATCTGAGAACCAGCCCATGAAAACATGACCCAAATTAAATAATGAAAGAAAACACGCACCAAGACCACCTAAAATGTCATCTGGAGCTCTTTTCTTGAATGCAAAAGATCGCCTTGCATGAGAATTGGAGGCCGACGAGTGTCGTGCATCGACTTGGAGAACGAGAAGGGAGGAGAACGCAGTTGCAAGGATAAAATAGATAACAGAATACATAGAGATGATAGAATATTGCTGGATAGCAAGGACAGCGCGACTTTGGGTCCGCTAGGGATAGAACGAGTGTGCGTTTCTGGTCTCTCAAAGAGAGCGAAAAGTAGGTTCTAATATATTTTAAAACACGAAGATTCTTGATTCCTGGAAGCTAGTTGGCCGATAATTGACGGGACGTCGCCGGCAGCGTCGCAGGAGCAGTAAAATTTGAGACCAGAAATCTGAAAACGAGGGGAGGAACAAGACAGAATTCGAAACGATCTATGTAGTGCGTTGGTAGGTTTCCTACCAAATCGCGATCACACGGTAACGCAACAAATGATCTCGGTTACACAAACCATTTTTAACTTTCCTTAAGACAGTCCACGATCACAACTATGTAGCACTGGAAACTTATTGACTTAACAGGCTTTGTAATTACGTCGCTCAAAGATTCGAAACGACATCATAACTAGAGGCAGAAACGTGGATTCATCAAGGTGCATATGATTGAATAGTATGACAATACACGACGAAATGGTAGAAAATGCAACAACAGACTTAGATGAATCCGATCTAGAGTATAATTAATAACAACATCGACAGCATGTTGGCAGTGAATCACCTTGTTTGCAACATCCAAAGCGTCGTGGTCGGGTGTGAGCCGAACGTATGCCTTCTTCTTCCCATCAGGTCTAAGGGCAATCAGGTTGTAATCTTAAAGCTCGTTGCAGAGACGAACCGGATCAGGGTGTTGATTTTAGCAGCCTGAACGTCATAAAGTTTCTTTACGGCGTCCTTGATTTGTCGCTTATTCGATTTTATGTCAACAATAAAGACGAGGGTGTTGTGCTCCTCGATCTTCTTCATCGCCGACTCCGTGTTCAGTGGACTGTCATTGAATGGTTAAAAATTAATTCGTGCTATATAGCATAAAACGCACGAGACGATGGTTCGGAACTGATCCATTCGTGGTGCATGGGGAATGGATTTGCGAGGGTACTTGGGATTCCTGCGCAGGCGGAGTGTCTTGGGACGGTGGAATGTTACAGAGTATCGCTGCTTCCGTGTTGAATGCGAGTGCACGCCCTGCAAAGCGGCCTTTTTGGCGGCCTTGGCCTTGACATTAGTAGGGGCCATATTGATTTGAAGTTATTCTGCCCGTCGCCCGTATTACTAGCAGGCCGATGATCAGGCAAATCGCCAATCCCCGAACTACTATACAGTTGCAATCGGAATATCCCAGAATCTTACACAAGATTAGTCATAAAGTCAGGTGATATGTGACATGGCACGTGTCACACGCGCAACACCCATCGGTGTCTGCACGCGTCTGCCAGATATTACTTTATCTAAGTACGCGTTCAGCACGCCTCAGCTTTAATGTATATCAAGACCCTGACAATTCAGGGATTCAAGTCTTGTAAGTTTAACCATTCTTTTCCGGTGATATCCCACTTCACGCACTGTTTCTACCAGACCGTGATCAGACACAGATAGAGCCCTTCTCTCCTCGTCATAATGTCGTCGTAGGTAGAAATGGCTCAGGCAAGAGTAACTTCTTTGCAGGTGCTCATTGCACCCCTGAACTATGTTTCTCGATCTTACTTCTACACCCCCCTAGCCATTCGCTTTGTATTGTCTGATGCATACACCTCCATGTCCAGAGAGGAGCGACAAGCTCTCCTTCACGAAGGTGTGTCTGTCACGACCACACTATCTGCATATGGTACGAAAATTTCAGTTACTATCCTCTAGCGCCCTTTCTAATACTTGCAACCAGTCGAGATTGTGTTTGACAATTCTGACAATCGATTTCCAACCGGTCGCGAAGAAGTCATACTAAGACGTACCATCGGTCTCAAGAAGGATGAATACAGTCTCGACAAGAAAAGCGCTAGCAAAGCTGACGTCATGAATCTCCTTGAGAGTGCGGGATTCTCAAAGTCTAATCCATATTACATCGTTCCCCAAGGACGAGTACGTGCCACCTGACTCTCCCATACTCCCTTAACAGAATCTTCCAGATCACCGCCCTCACAAACGCAAAGGACCATGAGCGTCTTGCCCTGTTGAAAGAAGTTGCTGGCACCAAAGTCTACGAACAACGTCGTACCGAATCTCTTCGTATCATGGCCGAGACCGATGCCAAACGCACAAAGATCAATGAACTTATCGACTACATCGACTCTCGTCTGACAGAGCTAGAGGAGGAGAAGGAAGAACTGCGTGAGTTTCAGGACAAGGACAAGGAGCGCCGGTGTCTTGAGTATGCACTGTACCAGAGAGAGTTAGAGGAAGTTGGAGAAGCTTTGGAGGAGATTGACGAGGAGAGGCGAGGAGAAGTACACGGTGCCAACATGAGAAGAGAGCAGTTTGATACCAGGGAGAAGGAGATTCAGGTCCGTCCAACCTTCTCTCTCATTGAGTCTACCATTGACGCAGCCATAGCGCCTAGAGCAACGAATCTCGCAAGCGAAACATTCCCTTCAAGCTCTCAAAATATCACGGAAAGATGCACACTCCGAGCTCAATGAATTTATCCGCGCTCGTACAGAACTCGAGTGCATTGTTGCCGATCTCCGTGCAACAAGCGAGCGTGATGATAGCGCTCTCGAACAAGAGCTTTCATCCGTTCAGCAAGCCACGCGGGACAAGGAGCGTGAACTACATGATCTGATCCCACAGTGGGAAAAGGCCCGCACAAAGGAAAGTGCAGAAAAACGCAAGATGGAGGAGGCTCGTACTCAGCTTAACGCGCTCTTTGCCAAGCAAGGCCGTGTCAACCGCTTCCGGACAAAAGCAGAGCGCGATGCATACCTCAAGCAAGAGATCGCGAGTATGGAGGCATATCAACGGGCTCGTTCTGCAGCACTCGATTCCACCCGGAAGGATGTCACACAGAAACTACAGAACGTTGCTGAGATGGAGCGGAGAGTTGATAACATCCAGGGGAGTTTGGAAGATGGTAGAACGCGTGTGAAAGACATTGGAGAGCAGGTTATAGCACTCAAAGAGCAGCAGACCGAACTTATTGAGCGCAGGAAGGAGTTGTGGCGCGAGGACACCAAGTTGGATGGGCTACTTGCGCATGCTAGTGACGAGTTGAGGGCCGCTGAGCGCAACCTTGCGGGTATGATGGATAAAGTGAGTGTATGCGCGCCCTCAATTTATGAACCATTGATTACTGTTTTAGGATACTGGTTCTGGTCTACGCGCCGTCGACAGGATTGCAGAGCGACACAACCTGGAGGGTGTATATGGCCCATTGTACCGTCTGTTCGAGATACCAGACTCGACGTTTAGCACTGCTATTGAGCTTACCGCTGGAAATAGGTACACCGCTCTATTTACATCAATCTCTACTTATGCTCACACCTCACAGCCTCTTCCACGTCGTCGTCGATACTGATGCAACTGCACAGAAGGTCCTCGATATCATGCTACGAGAAAAGAACGGCCGTGTGACCTTCATGCCTCTCAATCGTCTCAAACCCAAACAACCCACTATTCCTCCAAACCAAGACGCCCTTCCTCTCCTCGAGAAGCTTTCGTATGATTCTTCGCATGCCAAGGCATTCCAACAAGTGTTTGGTAAGACTTGGGTATGCCGTGACCTCACAGTTGCTGCTGCGTATGTCAAGAGCCATGGTGTTAACACCATCACGCTGGACGGTGATAAGGTTGATCGTAAGGGCGCTCTTACAGGTGGTTACCACGACGTGCGCCGCTCGCGCATTGAGGCCGTTAAGAATGTAGCGACATGGCGCTCCAAGTTTGACGCGGAAGATAAGCGTGCCAAAGAAGTTAAAGTTGCCATCACCACGCTCGAGCAGGAGATCACCAAGGTAACGGGGAAGATCCAAGTCCTTAGCGTGCAGCAGGCGCAGGCAAAGGAAGCACGCGAGGTCTTTCTTTCAGACTCGGTATCGCTCTCAAGGGAGCGTGAGAGATTGAACGAGGGCATTGTAGCTCTAGAAAATGAAGCGGATGAATTGGAGACGGAGCTGAGCGGGATTGTACAGAGGCTACAGGGGTACCGCACTGAGCTCGCGAGCCCCCTTACACGGGCACTGACAGATGATGAAGCCAATCTAATTGATACTCTTGGTCAACAAGTGGATGAAAGGCGCAAGCGAGTGCTCGAGCTGAGTAAATCGAGAACAGAAGTAGGTCCACTAGTAATGCACATCCTGGAACATACAGCTAATATCATGCAAAGCTTGATAGCCGCAAAAATCTCTTGGAAATCGAGCTCAATGAAAGCCTCCGGCGGAAGGAGAAAGAGCTGCAGGCAACATTGGAATCATTAGGTGACTCGGCGAATGGAGAAGTGTCATCCGCCGACAATCTGGATGCGCGATTGCGTGAACTCAAGTCTCTCGATGCTTCTATATCCACTTCGACAAAGCGTGCACAAGGTTTGCTCCTGACTAGTTCCTTGTGTCTGCATTACCAAATGATTCCTACAGAGGCAGAAAAGGATTTCGATAAATTGACGGCTGACCTACAGGAACTTCGATCCAACTTGGAGAAGGCTCAGAATCAACAATCGGAGGACAGTCGTAGCGTCACGAAGCTGCAGAAGAACACCGAGCGATACCTGGCTAAGAAACAGATGCTTGCCGGTCGTAAGGAGGAGTGCAACCGCAATATCAGAGATCTAGGTGTACTTCCAGAGGAAGCTTTTGAGAAGTATACGAACGAAAAACTTGATCGAGTGCGGGTTTATCAGCTGTTCATCTCCGAACTTTGTGTGCTGATGATCCAACGACTTAGCTGGTGAAGAAATTACACACTGTCAACGAAGGGCTGAAGAAGTTCGCGCATGTGAACAAAAAAGCTTTTGAACAGTATAATTCTTTCACGAAACAGCGAGACCAACTCTTGCAGCGCAGGGAAGACCTAGACAAGTCAGCCACATCAATCGAGGAGCTAGTACAAGTACTGGACCAGCGAAAGGATGAAGCCATCGAGCGAACATTCAAACAAGTTGCCAGCAATTTTGAAGAGGTCTTCGACAAACTTGTTCCAGCCGGCCGTGGACGGTTGATCATTCAACGTCGGATAGACCAGGTAAATAGGAGAATTATGTGTGAAATAACTTTGCTTAATCTGCTACAGGATGAAGATGAAGCTATGGACGAAGGAGATGATACACAGCAAAGTAGCATTGACAATTACACTGGCATATCGATAAAGGTAATTGTTTTGCGACCGCTTTGCTCTTTTACTTATTGTGTGATAGGTATCCTTCAACTCCAAGGTCGATGAAGGGCTTCGGATACAACAGCTGTCCGGGGGTCAAAAATCCCTCGTCGCACTCGCGACAGGTAACTGCATTTCTGTCAGAGACAACCATGTTTTTGAGCTTTTTCCCCAGTTTTCGCTATCCAGAAATGTGATCCAGCTCCTTTCTACTTATTTGACGAGGTGCGTTGAAATGATTGCATGGGATATACTGTCAGGTTATGTTGTTTTGTGTAGATCGATGCAAACCTGGACGCGCAGTATCGAACTGCTGTCGCAAGTAGGTGCCCCGTGGCACATCACAAAATGATGTTGATCTCTGTCTAGACATGATTAAATCTCTTTCGCATTCAGCTCAGTTCATTACGACTACTTTCAGGCCAGAAATGCTGGTCACCGCGGACAAGTTCTATGGTGTGCTCTTCAACAACCAGAAAGTCAGTTCCATCAGGAGCATCAAGCGAGAGGAGGCCATGGAGTTCGTGGACCAGGTCCGTCCTTTATTTTTTACCTGTGAAGCCTGGATTGCAACCAATGTTTTTTCCAGGAGGCTCAAGCTCAATAATGACTCACATGACTTTGCATCGTCCAACCATCAAACAATGCCCTTTTACCATACGCTATACGATATTTCTTCGCTTGTCGTGTTCATTGTTATCACTATTATCCTGTATGTAATTTATTTTATGAGTAGAGAAAAGGCCATTTTGATCTCCAATGGAACACCCGTGTCTTGTGCAATCAGTAAGGCAACACTGGACAGCTTTTGGCTCGTATATACTACTTGAATGGATCAAACAATACCTTCCCGCATTTCCCCTTGTCAAAATCGTCATATATCTGCACCGCATCATCGAAACTTGCTATTTTCTCCACCAAGCTCGTTTCCCCACCCACAGTTCCCAGTACATCCTGCCTTTTCAGG